TGGATAGTGGTGGTGGTTGCACAACATTGCAAATGTACTGAATGCTACTGAATGTCCACTTTAAAACGGTGAATTTTATGTTCCACGGATTTTGCCATCAAGTTTTCCCAGGGGATTCTGTGAACCAGCAAGATGGAATCCCCGGGCTTGGAGACCTGGAGAGGCTCCCTGGGGGTCAGGACCCAGGTGATGCCCCTGCAGGGCGCTGCACCCAGAGCTGGCCCTCCTCCAGGCCTGTGACTCCGCCTCTCTCCGGCCGCTGAAACCTCCATGGAGTGTCCTCAGGCTGCGGTGAGCAGGAGGAAGGCCAGCATCGCAACGTTGAAGACACTGCCTTATCCTTCCAGGTGCAAGTCCCTCCTTCACCCAGAGCAGGACTCGGGTCATAGCTCTGGCACCAGCCCCTCTTTACAGGGAGGGGACAGCAGGACTTGGCAAGGCCGTGCTCTGGGCCGTGTCTCACCTGGGCTCTGCAGAAGAGACCCCTGCTGTGGAGTCCCGGGGTGGGGAGCTCAGGGTGCTGGTGTGTCAGTTTCCAGTTGCTCCTGAGACAGATCACCACAGATTCGTGGCATAAAATGACACACGGATTCCCTACAGTTATAGAGGTGGGAAGTCCAAAAATTCTCCCTGGGCTAAAATCAGGTGTCAGCGGGGATGCTCCCTCCGCAGGCTCCAAAGAAGACCCGCTCTCCTGCCCTTTCCAGCTTCTGGAGGCTTCCCAAATGCCTTGGCTTGTGAGCCCTTTCTTTATTATCACTCCAACCTCTGCTGTTGTCCTCACTTCACCCTCTCTCCTCTGACCTCTGACCTCTCCTACATTCCTGTTTTAAGGACCGCTTGGATCATCCAGGACACTCGCCCCATCTCAGGACCCTTAACTTGCTCTCATTTACCAAGTCCCATTTGCCGTGCCAGTCAGCCGAGGACATCTTCAGGGGCTGTGTTCAGCTGACCACGCTGGGTTTCCCTGTCCCTTCGCTGTCGCATGTCTCTCGCAGGAGGACTTGGGTCCCTCCTGGTTAACGGCCACAGATCGAGCTGCCTTTTTCAAAGTCCATGGTTCCTGTCATCTGGAAACCTTGAGGCTTCACTCCTTTAGCGTCTGGTTTACTCCAACAGCATTTTATTAAGCTGCCTTCAGTGGGCCAGGCCCGGGCAGAAAGCTGCAGGGAAAAGAGGGGTCTGTGAGCTCAGGGACGGGGTCAGACAGGGCCCCTGCCTGCTCAGAACTGCAGTGCTCCACAGCACGTTAGCATGTCCCGGGAGCTTCACAGGAACTCAAATCCCACCTGCCCAACCAACTTCACCTGCAGCCCTGATGGTGGGTCCGGCATTGGCAGTTGAGTTCCTTGGGCATTCTGGTGTGGCCAGGGGTCAGAACGCTGTTCTCGAAGCTCAGAATCAGGCAGAGGGAAAACACATAAGTGTCAGAAATGGAATGTGATGTGTCCTTGCTTCAACAATAGCTAATAGGCATGCCTACTTCCGGGTCATGAGCGTTCTCACTGAACCCTCCCACAGCTTTGCAGGGTAGCAGTGTTATCACCCATTTCACAGGTGACCAGCAAGGCCCCGGTCACAGTCAGGGAGTGAGAGGTCACCCTTCAGCCTCAGGCACTCTGGCTCCTGAGACCTGTCTCCACACTTCTTGGGAAACAAGCTGAGGTCGCTTTCTCCTGGAACTTTCTACCTGTCTCTGACCCATCGTACTCTGAGGAGTAGGAAAGGAGGGGCAGAGGGAACAACCCTTGATGACAGCTGCTCCCCTGGTGGGGTGACACAGCAGAAGGAAGATGGCTCCTGAGTGTGGGCAGGTGCTGGGCTAAGCCACCACCTGCCTCATCCTCCAGGGCACCCGTGTGCCATCTCACTGCCTTCCTGTGCACGGAACGCCTGCCGCCCACACAGATGGGCCCCGCAGGGCGCTTCTCTGCTGCTATGAAAAGGTCACCCAGCCCTGGGATGCTGGCAGAGAGAGCATATCAAAGCCCCTCAGAATTAAGAGGTTTTCCCATTGAGTGGAATTTCACAGCCCAGTGGCCAATTTCTAAGTCATGCACATTAATGGGCAGCTAATGAGGGACCCAGGCAGGGACAGGGAGGGGAGGCAGCTGAGATTAAGGAGTACAAAGCCACAGCCGCTGCTCTCTCCCTGCTTCGGGGGCAGCTTTGGGAGAGAAAGTAGAAGGTGGGGCTGCATTGGAAGGCCTGGGAGAGCCTATACCAGCCTTGCTGCTGCAGTCCTCCACCTGCTGCCACACCCCCTCCCTCCCCACCATGCCCCACGCCCGCCTCAGGCCCTGGTGCAGTAAGAAAGTCCTTTCCCAGGTGCTTTAACCTGGGTCTCCACCCAAGGAATCCGACCCCAGAACACCTTGGCCTTCCTGGGAGCATTGGTTCATTCCCTGGGTTGAGCCTTCGAACAGGCACTCGCCACTCCCCACCTCAGTGTCTTCCCTCCTGGCACCTCCTCTAAGAAGCTCCTCCCAATTTCCCTCCCTCCTGGAGTCTCATGGTCCACTCCCCACTCCATCTCCTCTGAATCCCCAGGGCCTGGCATGCAGTAGGTGCTCAATCAATCAATCCATGTTTGTCAAATTACTGTCTGACTGAATGGTTGAGAGCACAATCAGACCCCAGATCTGTGGGGTATGGTGTGCTGAATGGTGACCCCTAAAAGATAGGTTCGTGCCCCAGAGCCTGTGAATGTGATCTTATTTATTTTTAATATATTTGTATTGATTTCAGAGAGGAAGGGAGAGGGGAAGAGAGAGAAATATCAATGATGAGAGAAAATCATTGATCGGCTGCCTCCTGCACGCACCCTCCTGGGGATCGAGACCACAACCCAGGCATGTGCCCTTAAACCAGTGGTTCTCAACCTTGGCTGCACATTAGAATCACCTGGGAATCTTTAAAATATGAGATCATCCTGGACTATCTGAGGGAGCCTAAATCCAATCACCACTGTCCTTATAAGAAAAGGAAAGGGTACAGACACAGGAAGAAGGCCACTTGAAGACAGAGGCAGAGGTTTGAGTGATGTGGCCACGAGCTAAGAAACCTGTGGAGCCCCCAGAAACTGGTAGAGACAGGAAGGTCCCTCCCCTAGAGCCTTTGGAGGGAGCGTGTCCCTGCTGACACCTGGATTCAGACCAGTGAGAGTAATGTGTGACAGCCGACTCAGGAGAGTAACGTGTCCGGGAAAGTATGTGATGTTCCTTTTTGTCTTTTCTGGAGTCTGTGTACTCATCCTGCCATCTATTCATTCACTCACTCACTCTTTCAGCCCTTCTGTCCAGGGCGCTGTCAGGGTCAGGGCATGGTGTGGGACACAACATGGCATTGCAGGCTGAGATGACACCCACTTAGGGCTAAAACCCTGCCCTGTCACTTGCCAGTGAAGACCTTTTCTTTCATTTTTTACTTTTGTTTTAGAGAGCGAGGAAAGAAGAGAGAGAAATGTCAATCAGTTGCCTCCCATATGCACTCTGACCAGGGATCGAACCCACAATCTTTTGTTGTACAGACGATGCTCCAACCAACCGAGCCACCCGGCCAGGGTGCCAGTGATGACCTTTTGAGCCACTGGCTTTCTCTGCCTGAGCCCGGTTCCTGCTCTGTGAGCGATGGCAGCGCCCCCTTGGGATTGGGTGAGCGCTGGGTCACAGTGAGCACTGCTCCCCTGGAGGCAGTGTAAACACAGGGCCCAGCTCTGAGCTCCTCGGCCATGATCCTGCTCCCTTCTCACTGGTGCATGCTGGGAGGCCGGCCACACTGCAGATCAAGCGTTTATTGACCACCTGTTGTGCGGAGCCTGAAAAGATATGAAGAGAGTGGGCCCCAAGGAAGTGACACAGTTAGAAACTTCATGGAGAAAAAGTGTGGGGCGGACCTGGTGTCCCGCAGATAAGGGCTGATTGGGTGAGGCTCTGGGCATTGAAGATGTTTTTAACATGAGGCAGTGGTTCTCAAAGTGGGGTCCCCAGCCCAGCAGCATCAACACCATCTGGGAGCTGGTTAGCAAAGGCGATTCTCAGACTCACTGAATCAGAAACGCTAGGGATGGGACCCCACAATCTGTGTTTAACACACCCTCACCCAGGGTTTTGAGCCTTGGGTACCAGGGATAAACAGTCACATCTGAATTCAAGATCTGACTCTCCTAGGCCTGCATTTTCTGGGACAGGACCATTTTTTATACTCTGCCAGCTTAGTTGACAATGTGTGGGGTCAAATTGGTGATCTCTACTCAAAGGGTGGCCCGGGACCAGCAGCACCTGCCTCCCGGAGCTTGTGAGAAATGTGATTCTCAACTCCTCTCAAGATGGGATGAGTAGGGATCTGCGTTTTAACAGGAACCCCGGGTGATTCTGTGCACGGTCAATGGAGATCTTCTCCACGGTGTACCTGCTGCCCGCCTGGGCCTCTACCTGCCTCCGTCTACGGCTTCCGGCACCCCCTGTGAGGCAGGCACACAGACCCCCTGTGCAGATGGGCGTGGGGAGATCACTGCTAACAGGTGACACATGCTGCACTCCAAGCTCTTTCCTCCCCCCTCATACGGGGGTCTCAGGCATGGAGGGAGGAGGCACTGGAGAAACTGACCCAGGTCACTGCGTGAGGTCAGGTGTGCCCCTTCCTTGATCTCTCCCAGCTGAGCTCCCTCTCCCACTCAGCAGACCAGACGGTAAAGCCCCGCCTACAGGGAGGAGGGGAGGGAGCCTTCAGACTTCCTCAGGCCAGAAGTCTCAGAAGCTGCAAGTTCTTGGGACAGATGGCCCTGACTTCAAGTCTCTGCTCCCCTAGGTTTTGGGACATGACCCAAACACATGCTCTTTAGGGCTCCCTTAGTTCACGACTCACTCATGACCCACCCTTGCAGAGCTGGACTCTTCCTTCTTCCACCCGTCTGGGCCCAAGAAATGCAGCGGAACCACCTGGAGTGAGCCTGAGTTTCCGTCGTCCGAGTCCAAGGTGGCCAAAGACTGTCTCTCACCTTGAAGTTTGCACTTGGTGGTAAGGACTAGGGCTGTCAGAGAGGTGGGGATAAGGGGGAGGGAGCCGAGGGCTGTGATGGGCTGGAAGGAGTTAGAGGTTTAGAAGAGGAAGGGGGAGGGAGGAGGGGTCCTTCGTTTTAGTTTGAGAGCAGGAGTGAGGATAAGCTGGTAGAAAGCTAGAGGGGGAGGGGCAGAAAGCAGCGAGGAAGAGAAGTGATGGGCCAATGAGTGAGCAAGGAAAAGGGGCAGCAGAGGTGCAGGAAGAGGGAGATGCGGTAGCTGGGACAACTGGGGAGAGACCTTTGGCAGCCAGAGAGTGATACCGGCTATGAACGGGGAAGAAAGTGCGAAGACTGTCTCCTCTCCACCCTTCTGCTGCTTCTAGCCATGGAGGGACAGACCCCTGGAAGCAGAGGCCTTTTGGAAAAGCCTGTGACCGCCAGCCCCGGTCTGTCCTCACTGAGCGCTGTCTTCATCCTCCTGAAATCTGCGCTGGGGGCTGGCCTGCTCAACTTCCCCTGGGCCTTCTACAAGGCCGGTGGGGTGGCCCCCGCCTTCCTGGTAGAGCTGGTAAGCCCCTGGGAAGTGATTGGGGAGGTCTCCCCGGGCAGGATCCAGATCCTCAGTAGCAGGTCTGCAGAGCTGCCTGTCTTAGAAACTATGTACATCTGTGGGGTTTGATTTTCTGCCCGCTGAGCTCATGAGGGTAGAAGATAATTGTACCTGGGCACACAACAGCCTCTACCCGCCCAGGCTGCTGCCAGGCACAACACCTGGATCCAATGAACCTGACATCTCCGCTGGGAAAGCGCGGAGAACACTCGGTCTCTGAGCAATCGACTGGCCAGGGACCTCACTTGCCCGCTAATCTCAGGTCCACGTTCAGTTCGGGTCAGAACCAGGACTGGCTGGGACACCCCCACGCGAGCTGGGCCAGGCCCTCTGCCATGTCAGAGGCCAGCAGCCGCTTCCAGGGCCTGCCTTCCAGCTGAGTTCCCTTTCCAGGCAGTCAGGGCTGAGCGGCTGTAGCAGAGAAGGAGCACTGATTAGCGCAGCTTTCTTTTGTTTGCAGTGATTCTCTGGCTGCCAGGAGCCTGTGTTTGCGGTACGCTCTTTGACAGGCAGCCCACATGCTTTTCCATGGCAGCCAGCTGATAATGGTCCTGTTCTTAATGGTCCCGTGCCGGGGTTCTTGTCCCAGCATCAGGAAGGGTTCAGGAATCTGGAGAAGGCTGTGCGTAGATGTTAAATAGGAATCCAGAGACTAATAAAGAGTCCGGAGACGAGATATAATTTTGAAAGGCATTGGGGGTCAGAGGAGCTTAGCTAAAGGAGCTAAGTTCCAAGATCTTAAGTCTAAGGCCTTAGGTTCTCTCGTCCCCAGGACCCCATGCTTTTTATTAACACAACTTGTCCTGAGGCGAGGCAGAGATACACACTTCAAAGGGTCAGGGTTTAGTACAGAGTCCATTGTCAGCATGGGGGAATTAGCCTACGGCTGTTCAGGTGTTTGGCCAGTAGGAGGCAATAACATGTAGATTAAGATGCCTTTTAGCTGTCTGGCAGCCACAATCAGTGTCCTATTCAGGTTATGGGGAAATGCCTTCAGCCATTCCCAACAGGTGGCTACATGTGTGACTCTGTTGAGTCCCCAAATCTCATCAACCTTTTGATGAAACTCTTGAAATTATGACATGCTGGAATTGGTCTCCGGCAGTCCCGTTCTGTGTGTAGGCCACAGGGCTGGATACAAGATACTTGAAATATCAAATAAGATATTTCAGATGGTGGGTAGTGTTAGGAGGGTCACATGGCAGAGGGTGGGGCAACATAACAGGTGGTCAGAGGACTCTGAGGGGGTGACGTTGCACTGTGCCCCAGTGGAAATGGAAGGACTTGTCCAGGTGCATGAGAGGTGCAACATAGCTGTGTTTGGATGGGTACAACAGGAAGGCTGCCCTTTCAGCTCTTGACCGATTCTCGGTCAAGGGCAGGTACCTGGATTGCAGGTTTTATCCCCAGCCTGGTTGGGGCTGGTGCATGAAGTAACCAATCAATGTTTCTCTCTTTCTCTCTCTCTCTCTCTCTCTCTCTCTCTCTCTCACTCTCCTCACCCCCCATCCTTCCCTCCCTCCCTCCCCTTCCACTCTCCCTAAAAAACAACAATGGAAAATAATATCCTAGGATGAGGATTAACAAAACAAAACAAAAGGCTGCCCTTTCAGACAATGAGGAGTTAATGCAGGGGGCGAGGTTGGGCACAGAGGTGTCCAGTCTCAGGGTGGCAGGCAGGGCTGTGAAACAGAGCTGAGGCCCCCACTCCTCACACCCCTGCAGCACTCCTGGGCACCTTGCTGAAATGCAGATGCTGGGCTGGGCAGGTCTGAGGCTGTGCATCCTGACGAGCTCCTGGTGACGTGGAGGCTGCTAGTGTGGCTTGCGCATTGTACAGTGTGGTCTAAAGACGTGAATGAATTGAAACCCTGGACAAGCGAAGGAATCAGACTGGTAATGGGCCCACTGCCCCTCCCCGCCTCTCCCCTCCTCTTGGGAGACTTCTGCTCTGTCCCCTTTGCAAGGGGCCAACTTGGACTTGGGGCGCATTTAAACATTCCCACCACCAGGAGGTCAGTGGTGCGAGGTGGTAGGTCTCTCATGACCCGTTAGCATTGGAGGATTACTAAGATTGAATGAACCTGACCCTCAGTTAGAAGTTGCAGAGGCGGAGCCTGGGCATGAGCAATAAGGGCTCTTTGCTGTCTGTCAGGGTCCCTCTCGGGAATGCCTCACTGGCAGAGGATCCCTTAGTCCCCACCCCGCTTCCCTTCATCCTCAAGTACCTATCTACTCAGTGCCTTCTGTGTGTCAGGCACCTCTCTGGGGACTAAATGGTGAGCAGAAAATGCCACAACCCCAGTGTTCACAGAGCTGAGAGGCTCTGGGTGAGAGATGTTGGAGACCCTGTAGTATATGTTGTAAGCATATGTCCTTGGGCTACTAGACCAAGGACCACAAACTGAGTGGCTTAAAACAGCAGAAATGTATCCTCTCACAGTCCTGGACGAAGTGTGAAAGCAGCCTGCCAGCAGGGCTCTGCTCCCTCCTTCCTGCCTCTTCCAGCTCCTGGTGGCCCCAGGCATCCCTTGGCTTGTGGCCACATCACCCCAGCCTCTGTTCCATCATCACAGAGTCTCCTTTTTATGTCTTCTGTCTCGTCTAAGGCACTTGTCATTGGATTTCAGGGTCACCCAGATGGTCCAGGATGACCCATCTCAAGGTCCTTAATTACACCTGCAAAGATCCCTTTTTATTTAATTACATCTGCAGAGGCTGCCCAGTAAGTCACCTGCACCGGTGGTGGAGGTGAGGCTGTGGACTTGTCTTTTGGGGACCACCATTCTGCCCACGGCAGGCACAGTGTACCCAAGAAGGCATAGTTCTATCAGAGCCTGAGATGAGGGGCTGAGTCCACCTGAGGGTGAAGTGTCAGGAGGGCTTTCTGGAGGAAATGGCCTTGGAGAGGAGGGGGAAGATTAGGCGTTCGCCAGGTGAGGGGAAGTGGTGGAGGCGGAAGGGCGTTCCAAGCCGAGGAACTGGCATGGGCAGAGGTTCAGGGACCGAAGGAGCCATGTGTTCCTCCCAACTCGGAAGTTCCAAGTTCCTCTCCCACAGTCCAATTAGATGTTCCTCCTCTGCAGCTGTGTTGTGGCGTCTGGAGTAACAGAATGAATCTGCTGGTCAGGGCCGTGCCCTGTCTGAGCGTGTCCCAGCTCAGCATTCTTCCCCAGAACCCGAGGCAGGGGTGTGGAGGCCTGGAGACCAAGTTCAGTTGGGGGTAGGTAGCCACCGGTCCTGCAGAGGCTCAAAACCATTTAGCTCCATGCAGCAGGTGGGGCTCCCATGCACCGATGGGGGTGTCCAGTGGCACAGGCACTTGGGAAAGCAGTTTGGCAATTTCTTAGTTAAAAACAGGTCTAATGTATGACCCAGCAATTCTCCTGAGGGCATGTCCAGGAAGACAAAACACAGGTCCTCAAAAGGACTTGTTCCAGGTGCTCAGCGCTGTATTCACAGTAGCCAGAAACTAAGAACCACCAGGTGCCTGTCAGCAGCAGGCTGGCAGAAACAACTGTGACTGCATCCATACAGGGGTGGCACTCAGCAAAAATAGGAGTAACACGTGATCACCAGTGTGGCTGGATCTCACAAGCACAACACTGAGGAAGAAGCCAGATACCAAAATATGTAAAAGAAAAATATTAGACCAGTGGTTTCTGGGGACAGGATTGGGGCATAAAGTGACTGGGATGGGACAGGAGGGCACGTCAGGGTGGTAGAATGTTCTGTGTCTTGACAGAGGTGCATTTGTTGTGCCTCTTCAGGTGATAACCCTTGTATACATGTAGCCCGTGCAGTTTTAGCCCCATCTGGGTTTCTGATACCTCATTTGTCCATCTGGGCAGAGTGGTATGAATCCCAGACTGACCACCAGCAAGGCCTCGACAGTCCACCTGCCCTGCAGCTCTAGTTTCAGGGCAGGGGAGGGGCCCGGGGCCATAGGCAGCGTGACTTCTACAGGTGAGAGGCCCAGTGGAGGGAGCCATATCCAAGTCCCCAGGGGCAGCTGGCTGGGTGGTGGCCTTTGGGAGCACCCTGGCCCACAGTCCTGCTCTGCAGGTCTCCTTGGTCTTCCTGATCAGTGGGCTGGTCATCCTGGGCTATGCCGCCTCCGTCAGTGGCCAGGCCACCTACCAGGGCGTGGTTCGAGGGCTGTGTGGACCTGCCATCGGGAAGCTGTGTGAGGCCTGCTTCATCGTCAACCTGCTCATGATCTCCGTGGCCTTCCTCAGGGTGATCGGGGACCAGCTGGAGAAGCGTAAGTACTTGCACTGGAGGTGGGGTGGCCTCAGGGTTCGGTGCTCCTTATGCCCCCTGGGGCTCCTGGTTTTGAACAGGACGTGGACACTGAGCAGGACCCTGGGGGACAGCAGAGACTGAGACCACCCCTGAGCTCCTAACGTCCTGGAGACGGGAGACTTGGAATTAGTAATTACCAGCACAAGGAGAGTCCTGGGGTGGGGGTGGGGGGCAGGGACAGGCTGTGGCTGGCTGTCTAGTGGGGTCCACTGCAGAGAAGCCCCTGTGGGAGAGAACCAATCACACCTTGAGTTTTAGGACATTGGAGACTAAACCCCATGCACCTGGGTCTCTAGTTCCCCACTAACAATTTCCCTCTGAGCATGGTTTAGTTGCATCCCCATCAATTTTGATATCTATTTTCATTTTCCATTCAAAACATTTGTTAAATTTTGCTGTGATTACTTTGACTCACAGGGTGTTTAACGTTGTGTGGTTTGATTTCTAATTATTCGGGACTTTTTTTAGATCCCTTTTTGGGTTCTATCTTAATTGCATTGTGGTCAGACAACACACTTGGTGATTTCCATTTTTCTGGTATTTGAGACTGCCCTGTGGGCCCCCACATGTTCTGTGTTGGTGAGCATTTTGCGTGGGGTGCAGTGTTCTGGAACTCTCCATCCGGTCAAGGTTCTCCACAGCTTTGAGCAGGTCTTCATACCCTTGCTGACGTTTTGGGTCTAGTTATTCTATTCGCCTGAGTGAGGGTGTTAAGCCTGCAATCACAGTTGAAGATTTTATCTGTTTCTCACTTTCAACTGTCCAGTTTCGCCTCACAGTCCTGGAAGCTCCGTCTTAGGCACCCACCCACGAACTACCCTTTTATTGTTATGAAATACCCGCTTTTGTCTCTGGTGATACTTGGTCGCTAAATCACCCTCCTCTACTATAAATGTAGGCGCTCCAGCTGCCTTCAGATTAGTGGTGATGCAGTATTTCTCTTCCCGTTCATTCTCTGTGAACCAAACTGTGACATGGGCTTCCCAGTGCATTTCTCGTAGGTAGCATATGGTCGGGTTGTGCTTTTTAAAAAAATCATCTTGACGATCTCAGACAGACTTCTAATTGGAATGTAATTATTGATATGGTTAGATTTCGCTCCGACGTTTTGATGTTTCTTTGGTTTGTTCTCTCCGTCACTTTAACCGTGAATAAAAAGGCCCCTGGCTCTGGGGTGCTGAGATTAGAGGCTTCTATGTTTGGGGCAGCATTGCGGTTGGTAGAGCTGAGCCTACGGTGGGTAAATGAGCTTGCAAGTGGCAGTCGAGGCCACATCAGCTTCACCTCGGGTCACCGGGCCGTACTGCCCTGTGAGGAAGATTCTGAAGCTGCGTGCAGGCTCAACTGTGGAGCCCAGAGTGATTAGAGTTGATTAGATACAGGCCACCTGGTTTTAGGCCACCTGGTTTTGGGGGGTTGACTGGGGAGGAGAGAGCATTGTGTGTGTGTTTCTGGTTAGGTACTTGCGGGGGGCGGGGCCAGGCTTCTCCGCAGGAGGACTACCTAGAGCAGTGATGGCGAACCTATGACACACGTGTCAGAGGTGACACGCGAACTCATTTTTTTGGTTGATTTTTCTTTGTTAAATGGCATTTAAATATATAAAATAAATATCAAAAATATAAGTCTTTGTTTTACTATGGTTGCAAATATCAAAACATTTCTATATGTGACACGGCACCAGAGTTAAGTTAGGGTTTTTCAAAATGCTGACACGCCGAGCTCAAAAGGTTCACCATCAATGGACGAGGGGGTCCATGTGGAGAGGCCCCAAAACTGCAGGGAAGGCCCAGCTGAGCCCCCGTGTCCCCACCAGGCACCTGATGTGGGGAGAGCCATCGAGAACCCTCCAGACCAGCCCTCCCACCAGCCAAATACCCTCAAGTGACCCCCATGGGTTCCACATGGAGCAGAAGTAGCCAGCTCAGCCCTATCTCATTCTTCACATCCTGCTCATGGCAGATAATCAAGTGGACACGCCAGGCCATGTTGGAGTAGTTTGTTGTGCAGTGGTGACAGAGAATATGGCTTTGCCCAGCACCAAAAAGCCACCCTGGCCCCGCTAGACCCACACACCCCCTGAGCTCCCAAGCAGAAACAGAAGGATCTGGTACAACAGTGGTTCTCAACCTTCTGGCCCTTTAAATACAGTTCCTCATGTTGTGACCCAACCATAAAATTATTTTCGTTGCTACTTCATAACTGTAATGATGCTACTGTTATGAATCATAATATAAATATCTAAATATAAATATCTGATATTAGGCGACCCCTGTGAAAGGGTCGTTCGACCGCCAAAGGGGTCGCGACCCACAGGTTGAGAACCGCTGTGTTACAAGCACATAAGGGCCCAGGTGCCTCAGGGTAGGTCCTTTGTCTCACTTGTGGCTGGATTCCAGCACGGGGAGCAGTGCCTGGCTGGTAAGAGCCCAGTGAGCATCTGTCGAATGAGTTTCTGCAGCCAGATCCTTCCTTCGTGGTGGCACATGATGGTGACCCCATCACGCTTGTCCCATCCCTTTAGACTCACAGGGCTGACAGTGCCCATGGCAACCCCTGCCAGGGATGGAGAGCGGGAGCCCGGGGCAGGACTCTGACTGCTGGGTGAGAGCCACAGGCTCACTGCGACCCCCCTTCCTTCCGCCTTCCCACCAGTGTGTGACTTCCTCCTGCCCGCCCTGCAGCCCTGGTACGCTGACCAGCGCTTCACCTTGACCCTGCTCTCCATGCTGGTCATCCTGCCCCTGTCCGTCCCGAGGGAGATCAGGTTCCAGAAAGTCACGAGGTACGGGGCTGCAGGCTTCCTGGCAGGGCAGCGGCTTTGACCGGGTCCCCACTGCCCTGGGTTGGTGTTTTGGGGGGGCTCTGTCCGCCTCTGCTAGGGGAGCTGTTAGCGTTGGCCTTCCCATTTGGAGAAGGAGGAAAACATTAAAAATCACACAAGTAACGTGTGTGTGTGATAGGAAATATAGAGAAGCAAAAGAGAAAACTACCAAAATGGCATAACCTGCTGCTGCTGTTTTCTTTAACTATTACAGACTTCATATGCCCACGCGTGCGCACTCACAGGCACAGAGGCAGACATACACATACTGTTTTTCATACTGTGGTCTGTGGCTTTACGTATATTTTTGAAGGAAAAAAAAAAGTCTGGCAAAAGTATTCATGCAAATTTGCAACTTATGTTTCCCTGTTGTGTTCAGAGCAACAATGGACGTCTTACCTTGGAAATGGAGAAACAGGGGGTAGGGGACTAGAGCCCCTAGGTGCCCCCAGCCCTCCAGTCTCTCGTCCCGCCCACTGAGGCAGGGGTCCTCCTCCCCATAGCCAGTGTCCTGGCTTAGCTGCCACATCCGAGGCTGAGTGGCCGTTGGAGAGACAGGGTGCCGGTGGTCACCACAGCCTCGCAGGTGCGGCCAGTTAGGAACTGGCCCAATCCGACCCTGGGCCTGAGCACAGTCCTGCCTGAAAGATCCCCCACATCCCCACGTGCAGATGAGGGACCCAAGGCGCGGAGCCGTGAGAACTGCCTGGCACCGTGCCCGTGTGGGCAGAGCCGGCATTCAGACCCCCTCTGTGCGTGTGGTCATGCATCGTCTGTGTGTTAGCTTCCTAGGCACCCTGGCCGCCTGCTACCTGGCCCTGGTCATCGTGGCGCAGTACTACCTGAGGCCCCAGGACCTTGCTCGTGAGCCCCGTCCTGCGCTGAGGTGAGTCTGAGGGGATGGCCTTCCCTGGCTTCCTGGGGTGCTGCAGGGGATCCAGCAGGAAGGACACTTCTCCCCACTGTTTGCACAGAGCCCCTCTCCTCTCAGCGAAATGCCTGGTGTCTCTGATGCCTGAGGTCCCAGCGAAGGCCCCTGTCCCCCCCAGAATGGACATAGCTGGGTAGTAGGAACCAGGGACAGGCCAAGGAGCACAGCTCTAAGCCCCTCCACCCTGGCTCCTGGGCTTTCGCAGCTGTGTCCCCACAGCCTGGAGCCGGTGGAACCGGCCGGCGAGATGCCGATGCCTGGGCAGAGGGAGCAGGAGTGACAGAGGCCAGTGTGACCCCACCGGCCTGAGGCCTGAGCAAGGCCAGGAGGGGGGCGGGTGTCCTGTGGGGACGCGGAGCCTCACTGAGGAAGGGTTTTGCTGGGCAGCTGCTTCAGGGTGTGAGCACAGCAGGGGCTTGAAATCGGATCTTCGGGTGACAGGCCAGCTCCGTAGGCATGTGACCTATGAACTTACCAGGGCTGCGCGCAGAAGGGCCTTGCACTCGGTTTAATGCCCTGCTGCCACCATCCCAATGTTCTTAATCGTTGTTGAACAAGGGTCCGCCATGTTCATTTTGTACTGGGCCCCGAAAATTATGTGGCCCCTCCTGGCCGACAGATTGGAAGTGGAGCATGAGAGCGGAGTCCAGGGTGGCTCTGAGCTCTGGCCTGAGCACCGGGAAGGTGGTGGTGCTGTTTCCTAGGACGGAGGAGGTGAGAGGAGCAGGTGGCTGGGGGAGAAAGAGGGGGTGTGAGGTTGGAGTCGGCTTTGAATGCCTAAATGAAGGTACAGGTAGCTTGTCAGACCTGCGTCTGGATTCAGGGAGAGAGAAGCTGGGCTGGAGGGAGGATGTGGCTGGTGTCAGCCCAGAGATGGCATTTAAGGCCCGGGACTGGGCAGGTGGTACACTCAGGACCCACAGGGCTCTGTCCGGCACTGGAGGTCGGGGGAGGAGGAGGAGCTGTGGAGGGGTGGGAGTCGGTTGTGTTAGCTTTCTGGAGCTGCTGTGACAAACGACCACAAACCTGGTGGCTTCACACAAAAACAGCTTATCCTCTCTCAGTTCTGGAAGCCAGGAGTCCAAAATCAAGGTGGGGCAGGCCAGGCTTCCTCAGAGGCTCCAGGGGAGGGCCCTGCCCGCCTCGTCCAGCTCCCGGGGCCGCCAGTGGTCCTTGGCTGGATGCCTCGCTCCAGTCTCTGCCTCCGTCGTCACTCTCCCTGGGTGTCTGTTTCCCTTCCTATAAGGACACCCGTCGTTGCACCAGCTCCCAACCTACTCCTGTGTGACCCCATCTTAATTTAACTAATTACATCTACAGAGACCCATTTCCAAATGAGGCATCACTCTGAGGTTCCCAGTGGATGTAAATTTGGGGGGACACTATTCAACCAGGACAGAGGATAATAGTAGGGGGGTCGCAGATGTCGGTGAACAAAATTTCAGGAAGTTGGCGTGATCATTGCCAAATGTTGCTCCTGGTTACAATGGACTGAGCCCTGGGCATGGATTTGGAGGCTGCTGGTGGTGTGACTTGGTCAGGGCAGGAGAGGCAGTGAAGGCCCAGGTGGACTGGGTTCAGGAGAGAAGGGAGGAGGCAGGAAAGAGCTCTTCTGAGGAGGGGAGGAGAGGAATGGGCGGAAGCCATGAGGGACAGAGGCCCCAGCCCCTATTTATGCTGACGGACATCTCTTAGAGAAGGAAGAACCAACGAGGAGAGGGCCGGGCTCACTGCTAATCTGCAGCCTCGAGTCAGGGGGAGGGGAGGTCCTGTGCTCTGGGGTCTCTTTCCCGGGGCCAGGGGGCCTGCACATGTGGCCCAGGGGATGCAGGCAGGCAGATGGGGCCATGCCTACATGGGCACTCTGGTGATGAACAGGAAGCCTGGCACCAGGGACAGGGCTGTTGAGGAAAGTGTGGGAAGCCCGGCCCGGTGGGGAGGCGCCATGAGCAGCCTTCAGAGTTAAGTCAGCCATGTGCAGCACGAGCAGGAGTCAGCACTGTGCACGTGTCCCGTGCTGCTGTGACAAACTACCACCAACCGGGGGCTTACACAGCACAGATTTACTCTCTCATCTCTGGAGGCCAGAAGTCCAGGATGGGCCTCGCGGGGCTCAAGTCAAGGTGTTGGCAGGGCTGCATTCCACTTGGAGGCTCTGGGCGAGAATCTGTTTCCTGGCCTTTCCCAGCTTCTAGGGGACACTCACTCTCCGTGGCTCATGGCCCTGCCTCCGTCTGTAAAGCCAGCAGCATTCCTTCTCTGACCCTATCTCCGTCGTCACAGCCCCCTCCACCCACCCCCAGGAAAGGTTCTCATCTCAGGGATTCATGGGACACATTGGGCCCAGATAACCAGGGTCACCTCCCACCTGAGTCCTTACCCCGATGCACACCCGTCAGCTCACTTATTCCCAGGTCACTGGGATTCGGACATGGGCCTCTTTGGGGGCCATTATTCTGGCACAACCAGGAAACCCTGATTCTGTAGCAGGTGTTATTTACACCCCATTTCACTATATGTCCCTAAAGGTGCTGGATGCTGGCACCTAGAGCTGCTTGCCAAAGGAAGCTTGAGGGCCACCGTCCTGAAAATTCTGCCCATGCACACCTCTGTCCTTTTGGGAGCTTGGGCAGAGGTCAAACCATCCCTGCACTGCTGTGGTCTGTTTGATGGAGGTGAAAGGAAGCTTGAGGGCCACCGTCCTGAAAATTCTGCCCATGCACACCTCTGTCCTTTTGGGAGCTTGGGCAGAGGTCAAACCATCCCTGCACTGCTGTGGTCTGTTTGATGGAGGTGAAACCATCCCTGCACTGCTGGGGTCTGTTTGATGGAGGTCAAACCAGCCCTGCACTGCTGGGGTCTGTTTGATGGAGGTGAAACCAGCCCTGCACTGCTGGGGTCTGTTTGATGGAGGTGAAACCAGCCCTGCACTGCTGGGGTCTGTTTGATGGAGGCTGCCCGAGCTCCCCAGCCCTAACCTCACAGGAACAGGCAGCCTCAGAGGGAGGCTGGGAGTTCCTGCTCGTCGTGCCCTTTCCAAGCTCTGCCAGCCCAGAGAATGTCAAGTTACCAAAATGTCAGCTCAAATGTAATTAGAGAGTGCAACACAGAGCATGGCTCCCTTTCCATCTCCCAAACCAGGGACTGGACGCAATAATTAAAAATACATCTTACAGCCGTGCTCAGTGACACCTTTCTGGTCTTTAAAACTCATCTTCAAGTTGAGCGTGGCTGTGAAGTTAGCTTTTTGTAATGAACACCTGTTCTTGTCTGTTTGCAGTCCTTCCTCCTGGACCTCTGTGTTTAGTGTCTTCCCCACCATCTGCTTTGGATTTCAGGTGAGCTCAGCTCTGTGTTGGCGAGCGTGGCGTGGGCGGGCTGTGGTGACTGCCTGCTCCCGTGGGAGAGTGTGGCCTCCCTGGCAGGAGAGAGGGGTGAAGGCTTGTTCCAGGATGTGATGGGCTGTCTTCCGGAGACAACACACTGCATGTGTTGGAATCTGGGTTCAGTGAGGTGTGACTTGCTGTAGAACTGGGGAACGCGGCCCCCACTGGGAGCAGCAGCAGCAGCAGCAGAGTGGGAATTTAGCACCTGTCCCTCCGCATGTAAAACCCTCGCTGGACAGTCGCCGTGCCAGGACACCCAGAGTTGTCCATGTCCTCAGCAGATCTCTGTCCCAGGGGCCTCGGAGAGGAAGCATCCTGCCTCTGGAGGCGTGGAGGCGGGGCTGGAAGGTGTGCAGGGGGCTGCGTGGTGGGGGTCCGGGGCAGAGTGTCTGACAGTCATGGACTGAGGGTGGGCTGTGTGCAGTCCAGCTGAGGGGCTTCTGACAGCCCTGGGCGGGCAGAGTCAGACACCCTCTTTCAGGCACGATGTCTGAAAGGCATCTTGAAGAATGTGTGGGGGGCGCCAGGTGAAGGGGAGGGCGGTCCAGCTAGAAGGGACAGCACAGGTGAGTGGGGAGGGGGAGGGGGAAGAAGAAAGCCGGGGAGCATGCCTGGTGGGGCTGCAGGGCTGTAAAGGGCTCTGCTAGGTGGGGTCCCCGGGGTGCCGGAGGGTATGGCGGAGAGCGAGGGCTCTGCTCCCTGCCTTCCGGGTTTTCCAGGCTCCTAGCAGGTGGCAGCTGACTCCATTCTTCCATTGTTTATTTTAGGAAAGACGTGCCTCTCTCCTAAAAACCTACCCAGCACACCAATAGCAAACCACCCCAAAGCAAAGTCGAGTTGGCAGGGGGGGTGGTTCAGGAGCGACAGTATCTCAGCTTCCTGCCCTGAGTTTTTCTTCCCTTAGCCGCCAACTGGCTCCTTTCTGTTCTTCATCTTGCATTTTCTCTGAGAAACAGTTTTGAAAAAAATCTTGAAACATTTCCATTTCTCTTGCTTATAAATGAGTTGATGGTATCACTTCTGGGGCTTAGCAAGCCATTTATAAGAAATTCTCACATTTTTCCTTGCACACCCAATATTTTGAAAGATCTAGAGCAGCGATTTTGCTGTCAGCTGTTCGTCTGGATGTGGTTTAGCGCCCCTCTCCCCAGCGTCTGAGCACCATATGGCCTGGCAGGCTCCACTGGGGGCTGCTTTTCAGATGCTTCCCGGGGTGCCCCCCTCACCTTTGCCTCAGCTCCCTCATTCCGTTCTCCTAGCAACCGAGGCCTGGCTGAGGTTTCCAGGGACACGGATGCAGGATGGAGATTTGGGAAAAGATGTGAATTGCCGGGTGGGGGTGGGGCTGAGGCCGGAGGCCAGAGGCAGGGCTGTCGGGTCTGGCTGGGAGAGTCTGTGTGGAGGAGGGCAGGAAACAGGGAGGGAGGGGGCAAGGCTGGAGGGCCGTGCGAGGAGGGGAGGTCTCCTTGTCGTCAGGAGCTCTGACCTGGTTCAAACACCACCCCCACATGTAGCAGCCCCACCACCAGCTGTGCGGAGCTGGTAGGAGGGGCCTGCGGAGCAGAGTGGGTGCGAGCTCTGCTCCTGCCATCCCTGCCGCACCTGGGACTTCTCTGTTGTTGTTTTTTAAACAACAGCTTTATTGAGATAGAACTCACATAGCATGCATTTCACCCACCTGAAGTGTAAGATCCAGGGGTGTGGTATGTTCACAGAGCTGTGCGACCATCACCACAGTCGATTTTCGACCATTTCATCTCCCCCAGAACCCTGAACCTGTTACCAGTCACCCCAACACCCTCAGCCCTCCCTCAGCCCCTGCAACCAGGAGTCTCCTTGCTGTCTCTGCCTGCTCTGGACGGTTCACATAAATGAATCCCACGATGCTGGTGCTTTGTGACAGCTCTCACAGCATCATGTCCTTGAGCTCACCCACCTGGTGGGTGTGTCCGTGCTCTGTTCCTTTTTATGGCCGAGTCATAGTCCACCGTTTGCTTATCCATTCCTCAGCCATGCACACCAGGCAGTTTCCAGTTCTTAGCCAGTGTGGGCGCCTCTGCCTGCATCCCAGCTCAGCGAGGAGAGAGCCTGCGCACAGCCAGCCCCTCCCACAGGTTGTTCCAGCAGGGCAGCCCCTCTCCCCAATCCCGGGGGACCTGTTGCACCTTCCCTATGAAACCAAGAGAAACGTGACCCAGGAATCTTAGGACAAACAGAGAAAGAAGGGCAGGGCTCATCCAGACACCTCCAAGCATTTCCCCCATTTCTGAGTTTGGGAGACAGGAGCGGGGAGCATTGATCCACGGAGTTCCCTGCCCCTCGGTTGAGGGTCCCCGGGGATTGAGGGCTCCTGTGAGGTCAGAGAAGTCCCGGGAAAGAAAGCCAAAGAGGCACTGGTGCCCGAGGCTAGTCTGTCCTAGAAGGTACATGTGAGCTCCTGGGGACCGTGTTGGGCTAGTTTCCGTGGTACCCTGACTTGCACTGAGTCAGACTGATAAGACTTGAGTCCTGGAGAGCGTGGGCTGGGTAGGGGCAGCCTCCCTGTTACGGGTGGGTACTTAAAGGGATGGGTAAACGAGTAACCCCTGGAGCATTTCTCAGTGGTGGGCCAGGCTCCCTGCTTGGCTGGAGCAAGACAGACATGGTCCTTGATGTCAGGGAGCTGATGGTAGATGCTGAACAAGCAAACCCAAACTTGCTCACGTGGAGTGGGGGGTGGGGGGTGGGGGGGAACACATGAGAGAGGAACTTGGCTGCCGGGGGGGGGGGGGGGGTT